ACCGAACCAAAAGCACTGTATCGAACGGTTCAATATCGATACGAGTATCGTTGCACTCCTAAGAAATATAGATTACTGTGCAGAGAAGTTTACTAACAGCACTTTCAAAGTCTGTACTTCAGTTTTAGTGAGTCAGATTCTGTTTTTGTTCTTGTTACTTAGCACTGATTATCAGGTTTATGTATTTGTTATGTGTAACTATTCAGTTTATGGATCCCGTTTGCTTAAGCAAACAGCATTGGTGGCGGTTCTTGCACGTTAACTGATAACTTGGTACTCGTGTTCCAGATGTTCATTCCATCTTGTAAAATCAAAGTTGGCGACAACCATAATGGCGAAGTTGTAGTTTCAAAACAGGATTTTACAAATCGATGGGTGACATCACAGTGGCTACAGTCTGTACTATATAGTATTTGGTAACATCCCACTAAGCATAGTTTACTTTGCTCTTAGTTGAGACAGTTTAGAGGGGGAACTGCTTTGAAGAAAATGTGCAGAGATTTCGATGATAGTTGCAGACTATTATTTACCCGATGGTGGATGAGGAATGATAAATTTAAATGCCTCAGTCTCTTAAATGATGAAATAAAATAACTGAAACACCTTTTAAAATGCTGAAATTTCTGATAAGATAATCCTGAAAGAAAGTCTGACTTTTACAGTGTAGTAAATAGATAAACCAAAACTGAAACACTGTGTGCAGAGTCACAGTGAGTAAACACATCAAAATAAAGCTCAACTACTAAAAAGATGTTTTTTTTTAATGAAATAACTACGTCACCACATTGAAGTCTTTTCATATTTCTTACAACAAGGGGGCATTTAAAGCTTCAAAGAACAAAGATACATGATTTTCTTCCAAGTTACACGTCACCCATGTGACTTTCAGGCAGGATCCTCCTTCATGCAAATCCACAGTTAGACTTGAACAATAAGGGATTTGTTATATGCAAGAAATTGGCTCTTAATTCTACTTAGGAAGAATTTTTGCTTCATTTTATTATCACTTGGAGCTCAGATGCAATCACAGTGCTTCTATAAATATAAATGTATATTAGAAGGTTTGAAAACGGTGCATGAAATATAAAGCATTTTCAAACGTGTCATATTTGCATAAGAAAAACTATTGATGTTAAAAGGATGTTACCGGAATGTGTTGAATGGGTGTGATTGTGTTGACTTTTCCTCATTGCTGGGAAGGTTTCACCTGAAAGTATTTTTAGATCACCTCTGGCACAAAATCTACTCTTTCCGGTTTCGTCACTTACGGTCAGAAGACTGTTTTCATCACTTGTAGTTGAATGATCAAGTCGCAACATTTGTGGCATGAGAAGCCAAAAGAAAGAGGAACTTTTGTGGTTGTCTAACTGGTATTTAAACAAGCAAGAAGATCTTGCTGCATTAAGGTGCAGAAATATTTAAGGATTTTTTTTGTTATTCACTGAGATGTGCGTGCTTTAAAGGGGCACTTCCCATAAATTGTAAAACATCATTGTATTTCTTCTGCCCTGAGTGTTATTAATGATCTCCACTGACGGTAAAAGGAATTTTGTTTTTAATTACGGTTTAGTCTACCTTTTAAAGAAATCATACCTGTTTTAAAATCTGACATTTAAAAAAAATTTTTTTTTAAGCAAAACCAAATAAATGTTAGTTTTACAATTTTTGTGTCTTACAAAAATTGAAATGATTCATTTGAATTTTTGAATTTTAGGGTATCATTCTGGGTTTGAGAAAATCACACTAAGCATTTATCATTGTTAAAAAAATCTTCTCATAACCCTTTTATATGGGAATCTAACTAGATGATAACTTGAAGGAGTTCTTTGAATGCCCTAAAAACGTTATTCCCATTCAGGGAAAGGATAAATGATTTGTGACTCCTTATCTTATGTGATATTATTTGTTTACTTAACCAGGAGTTATAGAGCAGCATAATTACCCATTTCAGGCAGCGTGTTGGTGCAGCCCAGTTAGCCCTGTTGCCTCATGGCAGGTAGGAGTCTGTGTGGAGTCTGTATGTTCTGCCTTCTTGGGTTCTCAGGGGTTTTCTGGCTTCCTCCTTCAGTGCAGAGAGATGAATATTAGGTTATTTGGTGCTTGGAGCTAGAAAAATGGTGGTAAAGGATAAGAGGTATAGCACTGTATGACTGTATGGTTAAGTTAAAGTGCTCTGAGTGGTCAGTAAGACTAGAAGACTGCTGTATAAATGCTACTGCATTTCCATTTTGGGTTGGTTTTCTGGACAGCTGATGTTTAGATTCCCAATATTCTCACTGGTTTTGGTCTCTTAACGGCCTCTGAGGGGGAAAAAGTTGATCCTGTAGCTGTCTAGTGGCTCACTGCGTACAGCAGGTAGTCACTAAGTGTGTGAGTCTGCCATTTAGTGATGAACAGGTAGTTTATACACAGATGGCTCCTTTGGTTTTTGAACAATGATACAGTTTTTGTAGTTTTTGCCTCCGTACACCACCACAGCTGATTTTAAAAGAGACAGTCAAGATGAGATTCAAGCACAGGCTTTTAGCTTTACCTCAAGGGTTGTTTTTATTGTTTAGAAATGAAAGTAGTTTTTCCCTCACAACATCTTCTCAAGTCAGTCAAGTTGTGGAGGTGGCCAGAGTCAAGAGATGTTTTGTGAATGTAAATACAAAGGGCTTACAAAAAAGATGCGCACCACTGATTGCATTCAAGAACAGGAAGCCCAGATTAGGCTTTACCAGAAATCATCAGAAGGAGCCTGCCCTGTTCTGGGAAAGACATCCTTTGGACAGATGAGGCCCAGATAAACTTATAGTAGAAAGATGAGAAGAGTAAAGTACAAAAGGAAAAGGTATTCATACTTTGCCATAGTCATGTTTCCAGTGACTTCCAGTAGAACCAGGCCACTTACCAGGATGAATGAGGTGTATTGGACTAAATTCTGTGCTCAAAAAAGCAAAGAAATTAGTGTATGTATGT